TTTTTTTTTTTTTTTTTTTTAAAGTTTTCTTAAATTCAGTATTTTCTGTAAACATGTTTGTGCGCCTGAGGAGCTCAAGTATTTCTGAGATTTAAACATACAACAGTCAATCTGTTGAAAATACAAAACACACACACAAGGTTCGCCTTATTGGAGGAAAAAAAAAAAAAATCAATACATTTTCATCCAGAAGCATCTAGATCGAAAATGTGCTTTCTATATTTGCCTTTTCGCATTGCTGACTTGTTCTTTGCGGAGAATGAGAGAAACAAAGTAAAAAAAAAATTGTTCCAAGCCGCTGATTACAATCACATAGTTTTCTGTACTCTCTGAGTCCACCGTTAACTACGTGAAACGACAATGGCACAGAAATGAAACCATAAATCAGACGAAACTACAGGAAAGCGCCTCTTTAATGTGCCACTGTTTCCCATCAAATACAGATTTTTTTCTGGTTGACAAGCGACATCATATTGTACATGCGAGCTGCTAAACTGAGCCGTGAGGCACAAACTAAGCTAAAGGACAGAGCTGGAGAATGTGTTCTGGATATTTGGACCTACAAATAAAAAAGAGAAAATAAATGCTGGATGCTATACACAAAGCGTTTTAAACTAGTTAGTAATAATTATCTTATCATTAGTTATTTTTCAATTAGTCCATTAGTTAATTGTTCTAATGGTCAGAAGACCTTTTTCTACTGCCACATTTCTGAGTTTTAGATGTATGGTTTCACCCCTACACACCCCTTAGCTAAAGTTTTGGTGTATATTTTTAATTATTTGATTAATTAATTAATTTGCTTTTTGGCTGCTTGGGCAGTGCTTAGTTATTTATTCGCTTTTTTGGTGGCTCAGTGGTTAAGCTGTTGGACTACTGATCAGTAGCTGTTGGCCCTTAACCCTCGACTGCTCAGTTGTATAAATGAGATAAATGCTCTTTGTGCTGGATAAGCTGTGAATGTAAAAATGCTTTTGCTTTCACTACAGCATACATAAATACTTCAAATTTACACACACAACATCTTTCGACTTCGTACTTGTAAAGATGAGCAAAGAGTATACATTCATAAGCATTACAAATGTGTGCAAAGTGTTCAGACACTATATTAAATAAATCAGATGCAAAGATGTAAAAAGATGTAAATGGTGCAAAAAAAATGTTCTTGCGCAATCTGCACCAGTTGTCATCACAAAAGACTGGCATTTCTTGGTATGTAGTAATAATGGTGAAGGTGAAGGAGGCTACTAAATTTATCAGGAACAACATTCGAATGGAAAAAGTTACAGAGTAAAGACGAAACAAGCTCCCATAACAAAGACCTTAAACATCCCTGAGAGTACAATTCTGAATGATAAACGCTCTGTCACATAACACAAAACTGCCTAAAACTGCACTTTTTTTCATTCCTAACACCACCATTTCTCATACTGACAAATTATCTGCTACGGCTAAATATAGAAATCATTACCAATAGGCTGTTTTCGTTGCCTGCTTCAGCGAACATTACTAAATTTCTTGCATGCCTCAGACAGAAACCTAGCTAATCTCCAGCTTATACAGTTTGTTAACAGATATTGAAAAATATCTGCACTCATCTTTAGTGGAACCACTGAATCTAGAAATTCTTAAGCTATCAAAATAAGTCAAGTTTAGGTTTTTTACTGAAAAAGACAATTAAAAAGATAATTAAAAGTTATTGATCCTAAAAAAAAATTAGATATCCGAGTGTAGAAAGTATAACACAATATAAGATTTACAAAAAATAACAGAAGAAAGGACACTGAAAAAAGGAATCATATTTAAGAGAATATACACTCATCGTCCACTTTAATAGGAACACCTGAACACCTGCCCCTTTATGCAGTCATCCAATCAGCCAATCATGTGGCAGCAGCACAATACATAAAATCATGCAGATACGATCGTGCAGTTTCAGTTAATGTTCACGTCAAACATCAGAATGAAGAAAAGTGTGATTTCTGTGACTTTAACCTGC